CAATAAAGCATGCTCCTCCATTCACCAGAATGGTGCATCATTTTCAGTGAAGTTTGTTTCACCAATTTTCAGGTTTTGCCTCTTCATGCAGCAGAATGGTGCAAATTTTTCACCATGCATTTTCAATAAAGCTTGCATTAATCTGAACGATGCAAATTATGCATCAGAAAAATGAATAAGCCCTGAATTTCCACCAGAAATTTACAGTTAAATGTGCACCTCCAAATTTTTAGCGCGTTTCATTTTTTTCACCAGAGTTATTCATTTTGATCTCTCAATGCACCACCTTGGTTATATTTTTACACCAGAAATATTCAATAAAAAAAAGCATTTTCTTCGATTTACCACCACGAAGGTGTATTCTTTCAACTTTAAATTTACCCTCTTCTTTTAACCCTCCATGAACCACCTTGAAAAAAAAATTACACCAGAATTTTTGTATGCACCACTGTGGTGCAATTTTTTGACCAGTTGTTTTCAGAGCCCTGATATTATGAAATGAAGCTATTTTACCTTCAAATCAAGTTATCAAGAAATCAAGTTATTTTATATTCTAATTTTGTAAACCTGAAAATAAAAATCTTATTTATAAAGGGGGGTGGCAATTGCCCCCCCCCCTTGCCCCACCCTGTGTACGCCAGTGTCTGCAGCTATCGCGATTGGGAGCCTCAAATCGATTGTTGTCGTGGTTGTCATCGTACTTGACTGGCAGAACGCTGTACGTTAAACACGGATCTTTTGTTTCATCGCCATTTGCTACCACGTCCGGTGTCCCGCAAGGAAGTAATTTGGGACCGTTATTGTTTTTGCTATTCTTCAATGACGCTGCATCTACCCTTGGCCACAAGTGCAAGCTCGTATATGCTGATGATCTGATAATCTATGGTGGTACGCTGCATCGAGGACTGTTTTCACCTGCAAATGTTGCCCAACATGTTCGTTCAGCGGTGCCGCTCGAACAAGCTTATCATCAGCGTCGCGAAATGTCATGTGATGACCTTCTATCGGTCCAAAGACCCGTTAATTTGTGAATATCACATCGATGATACTGTTCTTAGCAGAGTGGATCAAGTGACGGATCTTGGTGTCGTATTGGACTCGAAGCTTTCCTTTCATTTCCATTATGCATCGATTATTTCCAAGGCTAGTCGTCAACATGGCTTCATCTCTAAGATTGCCAAGGATTTCACGGATCCACACTGTCTAAAAGCATTGTATTGTTCACTCGTAAGACCGATCCTAGAAAATACTTCAGTTGTATGGGCTCCAAACGACGTATCATATCCCGATAGATGCCGTCTGCTTGACCTCGAAATTCTTAATCGAAGACGTAAGCTACAACAGACTACATTTATAGCTAAATTACTCAACGGTGACGTCGATTGCTCTCATCTTCTGTCACTGCTTGATTTCCCTGCTTCAGGTAGGATGTTATGTCATGTTATGTTATGTCAATCCCTAATGCAAACGAGTTTTCATCGTAGTCTCTATGGCTAAAACCAGCCTATTTGTGCAATGGTTCGTATGTTTGTATCCGTCGAGTCCGCGTTTGATTTTGGTATGTCCACACCTCAATTTGTGAATAGAGTAAGAAGACTGAACCTTATTTAAGACGAATTTTATTCATTAAGACAACATTGTCAGATGACTTACTAAATAAATAAATAAATTAATTAATTAATGTCCTGTCTGAGTGTTTCAACAACTGGAAGATCCATATCAACGCGGCAAAAGCCCAGGTCATCGTATTTCCACATGCCCAATCACCAAAACTTGTTCAGTCTGAAAATAATAAGATCTATTTTAACTTCTCAGTAGTGTAATGGTCCAAAGAGGTTGTGTACCTTGGACTAACCCTAGACAGCCAGCTTGTTGTCAGGGAGCATATTGATAAAACTAACACCACCTGCAACATCTTGATAAGATCACTATACCCGCTTATTAACAGGAAGTCCACCTTATCCTTAAAAAATAAGCTTGCTGTCTATAGACAACTAATCCTACCTGTTATTGTGTATGGTATGCCAATATTGGAGAGTTGCCATCATCTGAAAAGGATCCAGAACAAGATCTTTAGGATGACCCAAAACAGTCCCCTGCTAACTCTAAATTTTGAGATCCACTTCTTGGCTGGAATTCAGACATTAGAATAACGGAGTGTATTCATCCTGGAAAGGTTCAGAGACACCTGTCTGCGATCCGGTCAACAGATCATACGTGATCGAACATGCTCAGTTAAGTTATAATCGTAGATAGATAGTTTATCACATTTTTTTTTCAATTTAAACAAACACACCCACATCGCAAGGAAACATGAGACGTCTCCCGGAAGTTCTTTTCAACATCTCCCAATAGTTAATATCACTTTACCACGGAAGTATCTTCTGCTGTTTCTTGGAATTTTTTTCATTTCATTTTTTGATTTTTAAACGTCTCCAGAAGCTTCTCTGCAAATCTTCTTCAGTTTCTTCCGATGCTCCCGAAGCTTGTTTTTACTAATCATTAAAAAAAATCTTCCAATTTCTACAGGAAGCTTTCCCGAATTGCCCTGAGGGATAATTTAATTTCTCCATGATGTTTCTTCCCACTCCAACAAGAAGTTGCTTGAGATTTCTTTTTGAAGTTTCTTCTAACCTCTCGAGGAAAATTGTTCTGTCATCTGTCCATGAAGTTTCCAGCGCTGGTTTTCTTCAGCAAGTTACTTCCAAATTAACCTGGAATATTCAACCGACTAACACAGAAGTTTCATGCCATTTCCTGCCATGGCATCTGATGGCCGATTCAATTTAAATTTTTTAAACATCATTCCGGTGAGTGGTTCTTACGTCTGTAGGGTGGTACTCTCCCCAGGCCCCTTTCTCTTTGTTATATATACAAGAATGCGTTGGCACGGGTGTGTTTTTTTTCAATCTTCATCACATGTCTTACTTATCATTGCGAGAACATTTTTTTTGTGGACCTCCCGGAAATTATAGATTTAAATCCTAAGACCACATGCCTTCCATGGAACTGATGTTCCGGTTTATGGTTCCACATGGTCAAATTTAACATCTCTCATAGCCATATAAAGCGACATATTAAATCACATCCACACGATGATCAAATATGATCAATGGCACAAAAACGACATACATATTCGCTCTTTGGGTCGGCAACGTCGGATCATTACCAGAAGGTCCTGCAACCATAACCGTTGCATCTTGAACAACTCTACCGGACACACCGATCGACCAACCGACCGGAATACACCGAAACAACGGAAACCCAAACGAGCCAAATGCCCGGACGAAAATTCCCACTTAACTTCTCCGAAACGGAACGGGAATTGTGCCACGCTAACGGCAGCGGAAAGCATCCAACGAAGACAGCGAAATGCAAAATGCAAATTGTTATCCCCAATTGGAAATCTTTTGTGTTGTGCAAATCTTTCCCGTTTTTCGCATTTTGGCATTTTCCATCCGTCCTCACCTCACCTACCCATTCCGCTCCCGGTTGATTGTTAGTGTGAAAAACCGAGCAGCTAACAGACCAACTAACGAGAGTTTTGCATTTACTATTGGCGGGTGCACGAGTGAAAATGAGGAAAATGGACCGGAACGATGAGCCTTGGAAGCGTCGGCGAGCAAATCTACCGGGAAATCTGCACGAACGATGATGATGATGATGATGATGATGATGTTGGTGGTGAAACTGTGTTCTAGTTTACATTTGTTGCCAACTGTCGAATGGATAAAAATTCCGGCTAGCTTTGGCGATTTGACATAGTTGACTTGCTTCCTGATGGTGATGGTGTGATTGTCGTTATCTGGTCAATTTCCCTCTCCCTGGTGAGGATTAGTCTAATTTGAATATCAGAATTTCACTACAAACTGATGATGCATGCTGGAAAAGTCCAATTATGTTCGGTTGTGAAGCAATTATTTAGAACAACGCTCGATGAAACGTGTTTTTTTTTTTTTCAACTTGCCTTATACATTTAATGGTTACTCGAATTAATTACATTAAAAGCAATCACTTTCCCGCGCCGGAAGCACTCGGCGCTATAAAAGCCGTGAATAATGAAATGTCATCAATTTCCGCAGAATGGTGTAGCACTTTGTCGATCTTATGGGATATTTCTCAATTTCACCCTCCAATTTTAACGACCCAAGCCCGGGAACCACTTTGTAATAATCACGCGGCGGCCGTGAAAAATGTCTCACTCTCTCCTCATGCATTGGCACCTGAGCCCCACTTGGAAACAAAAGAAAGTCTTCGCATAGTCGGTTCTTGCTTTGACAAGAGCAGTCCTTATTCACTCAACGCACGCCAGTATCTAAAATGAGCAGCCATAAAAATCCACAAATTCCCCCTCCCCTAACCAAGATGAATGGTATTGAAAAAACATAAAAACAGAACATTAATAAAAGTTAAAAGTAATTTCCCAGTCCGCGAGCAATCGTTAAAATTAAATGTAGAAGCTTCCCCTCACTGCAGCACGGAAAAAAGAAAACTTTCTCTGCTCGACTACCCATCTCCTCGGACAACGTGACGCACTATGAATTCTTAAGAGTGCCTTCAATTTCCCAACGAAAGCGCTAGCCATTTGATTTGAATCGTTCTTTGCTTTCCTAGCCAGGGTTCAGCCTCATTCATCTAATGTTAATTGTTCCTCAAGTACTCAACCCAAGGCTAAAACCCTGAAACGACTCTTGCTCTAAGAAACGTCAAGAAACTGAAAATCAGCTCCCCATTTCTTCCGGCACTTCCGAAAAAATTCAGACCCCTCCCGCAATGGCCTCATCTCTCGCTCGTCTCGGGTCGTTTTAAGTAATTTATATCCTACTTTCTTTATGTTGCACCATACCTCTCATCCAATCAACAACGAGAGCGAAACTGAGGGAAACAATTCCAGGTGCACCTGAACGAACGTCAATTCGGAGAAGACAGAACGAAGCCGTACCAACCACCGAGACACGACAAGAAAAAGATGCAGTTGGGTTGGTCTTTCGGAAACTTACCTGCTACTTGTAGAGTGGCATTCCGGCTGCGAGCTACTCCATTCGCGTTGTGGGCCTCACACCAGTAGACTCCGGCGTCACTTTCCCGGCGGGAGTTTACGACCTACGATGGGGGAGAGGGAAGAAAATAAAGGAAATTGAGAGCAAATGTTAGAGAGAACTGGTGAATGGAGCTAATGAAAGTGGAAAAGTTTTCTGTGGGCTGCTGTGGGGGTCTCAGTGGTGTCTGTTGAAGAACTTTCACGATGAGAATGATGTTTGTTCATCAGGAATTGGCAGCTGCGAGCAAATTAATGTTGGCCCCGGATGGTGTTCAGAGTTCAGGTATTCTCATTTAAAAAAAAAAGCGTATGCTGGTGTGATGCAATGTTTCAGCATTAACATGGTGAACTACTTAAAAAACTGAAGTAGAGATAATGGCTCTAATGTTTGCCTATGGATCTAAAGATTGAACTCATTGATAATCTCCTGTAGTTCAATGTTTCTTAGAACTATGCGTCATATGGAGATATTTTGTAGTGCAGGTTAAAAAAAAAATGCCTCCTTTGAAATTTATGTATGGGCCTAATATAAAGAACACTTAGGTTGACATTGGGACATTAAACCTATGTGGATTTGCTGATGAAGCTCAGAAAAACGTTATAGAAGCCCAGACCCAAAATCGCGAAATTTGTAATCCATTCTCAGTGTACATACTCCGGTGAATTAATGTTTTTAAATTCAAAAATGGCACTGGCCTTGCCATATAGTCATCGGAAAGGGGAAGGACATTCTTTGTTACTAGAGACGTTTTGTTTGAGAGATAACCCACGATCTTCTGCATAGTAAGTAAAAACAGTCACTACTACGTAGTCGCATGTAGTCGATGACTACTTAGCTCCAAACTGAAAAAAAAAGTTTACAAAATAGGTAAAATACAGCAATCCAATCCAATAAGTAGCGTATATGATATAAATGTTTAGGTGGAAATTGAAAAATCGGTAATCGGTAATCGGTAATCGGGAAAAAATATCAAAATCGTAGAATTTGAAATGGATACCCCAGGGGAAAATCGAAAACAATGTTCAATTTGAAATAGCTACGCACCTGATAAACACGATCTGGAAAATTTTTAAATGTTATATTTAAAATGGCTCTCACCCCTGATATACATGTTCAAAGAAAAATTTAAAAATGTTAAATCTGAGAAATCTGAAAAAAAATACTTAATTTGAAAAAGTTGGCGCCCCTGGTAGAAAAGTAGAGGATAAAAATTAATTTTCACTTCAGAAAATACTGAATCACTTCGGAATGTATTTAATCTCTTTAGAACTGTTCGGAATCTTTTCTGCACGTACTGCATTGATTCAGAACAGTTTGGAATCATTTCAGAAAGTACTTAATCATTTTAGAAATGTTTAAGAGTCACTTTACAAAATTATGTTGAAAAAGGTCGAAAACACTTCAGAAAATTTCCAAATCACTTTGGAAAGTACTAAATCATTGCTGAAAATTCACTTCGGAAATAATTGAATCACTTACGAATGCACTGAATGACTTCAGAATAATTCGGAATCACTTGGAAATGTTCATGATCATATCAGAAAGTACTGAATTACTTCAAGAAATTCAGAATCACTTCAAAAAGTATTAAATCACTTAAGAAAACTTTGGAATCACTCCAGAAAGTACTGAATCATTTCAGAATGTTGTTAATCACTGAAGCACTTTAGAAAGAGCTGAATCACTCTACAAAAATTTGAAATCACTTCTGAAAGTAATGAACCACTTCAGAAATTCTTCGGATAATATTGAATCATTTCACAAAAAAAAATAATTCACATTGAAAAGAACTGAATCATTCCAGAAAGTTTGTAATCATTTCCGCAAGAACGGAATTACTTCGAGAATAATGAAATCACATCAGAAATATTTGGAATCACTTCGGAAAGTACTGAAACATTTCAGAAAGTTCAAAATCACTTCGGAAAGGACTGAATCATTTAAGAAAGTACTGAATCACTTCAGAACAATTTGGAATCACTCCAGAAAGTACTTAATTATTACAGATAGTTTGTAATCACTTATAAAAAAACTGAATCACTTCGGAAAGAAATAAATCACTTTGAAAAGTTTGAAATCACTTCTGGATGTATTGAATCACTTAAGAAAAGCTCGGAAATTCTTCGGATAGCACTGAATGACTTAAGAAAACTTCTGAATCTCTTTAGAAAATACTTAATATTTCCAGAAAGTTTGAATTTGCTTCACAAAACTGTGGAAAATAGTGTATAAAAACATTCAAGTTTGCAATAATTTCCTCTAGAACTGAATAAATCTGTAATAATTTAATTACTTCAGAAAAGTTTGGAATCACTTCACAAAAATCGGAATCACTTACAAAAAAAAACATTTCGGGATCAATTTAAAAAGCACTGAATTACTGCAGAAAAGCTTCAGAAAGTATTGATTCACTTCGAATAGTACCGGCATAATTTAGCATGAGAATGGTTGCTATTCCGATATTATTAGATTACCTGTATTACACAGAGAAACAACTAACGATCCGTAGGACTAGCATGCATCTGCAATGTGTAAAAACTGGTGATCTCATACTAACAGCGCCGGCCGCGTCCAAATGTAGGCTAATTATGTAGGGATTGGACGTGATTCTCACTTTGTTGGAAACCAGTAAGTCCTCCTCACTTCCATAAATTTTCCAATTGTTTTTCAACAGGATTCACTTAAGGAAGTATTAATTCTTATCGCTAGGCCACATTAGTACTCAATTGTGACACATCGAAAAAGTTCTCGATTTTGGCAGTAAACTCTCCACAACTCGATGTCCACCATGAATGTCATGGCTACTACGATAGGGAATTTGAATGGGATTCTTATTCTATAACTCGATGATCCCTCCAATATTGAATTGTAGAGAGTGCACTGTAGTGATGTTTCCAAAAACGAGATCCATCTGTACTGACATAACATTGCATTAGGAAAATTTGGAAAAGTTCAGAATCACTCCACAAAGTACTGAATAATATGAGAAAAGCTTAGGACCACTTTGGAAAGCACTGGACCATTTCAGAAAAGTTTAGCACGTACAAATTCACATCGAACAGTACTGAACTTTACAAAAGTTATAAGTCACTTCGGAAAAAATTGGTAACGCTGGATCCGTGTATTCAGCTCATAAATATTTAATAGCTTCAGAAAATCTTCAGTAGCGAAAATGTTGATTTGCTCAAGGATAGACTGGCTTCAGAAAGTGTAGCCTTCGGAAGTAATTCCACGAGCTCTTGGGAACGTCTGAAACAAGAACCTGATTGATTTGAGTTGCGTAGCTACGATTGCGTTATTGACACGCACAAATTCTCGAGGAGTTTGGGATTCCTTTTTTGCTAAAAGTAGCAACAGTTGGGTTCACGCGGTTTCCTAGATAAAAGTTTCCTTTACGAAAGTAAGGCTCTTGTACGAGAGCCACTTGGGATGTGCCATTTAGCATTAATCTACATATATTTATCATTGCTATTCTATTATGCTGTAGCTTGATTCATGCTATCTTAACAGTAATTTCAATTGATAACTACTCAAGATGTCACAAATCCACCTCCTCCAGCATAAAGTTAACAGCAGCTTTAATAGTAAAACGCCAATGACTATCGATCAAAATGGAAAATCTTGTGATAAATCTTGTGGTGAATGAAATCTGGAGAATTTTACACACGAATCTTAGTTTGGCTGGAGATCATTCCAATACTTCCTGACCTTGAAAAAATATCAGAGAAATTATAAATTTTGAACAGTTTCTGGTATTTAGAATGACATTTGTTCAGTATTATAATTTTCCAAGACTTAGAAAAACATCTAGAGGAACTAATAAATATCTTATTTAAAATCAATGAATAAACACAAAGTGCTCTTAAACTTTTAGGAAAGTTCCTGTACTTCCGATTAGTTTGTTGTTGTTTGTTTTTTACTTCCACTAAATTGTTTGAACTTAAGCTTAGTGCCATGAACTCAACTCATTTAAATTATCCGAAGCTCTCTGAGCCTGAGTTTTCCTGAATTTGTGGGAAGTTCTGCGAATTCCTGGAAAGATGCTTCCGCTTCTAAGAAGTTTCTTGAACATTTAAGATTTTTCCATAGCTTACACAAACTTAATTTTTTCCGCGATTGCTTAACTGAGATATGCTTAGATATTCTCTATAACTCATCCACTGTTCCCTGTTCATCTAAGCTTTACTGATATAGTTTTTTCTCACTATCTTAATTTGACCAATATCTCAGAATATCCATGACAATTTCCAACCGTCCTGGAAGACCCTTAACCTTGTTACTAATTTTCCAGGACATAAGTGCGACACAAAATATCTAAAACTTCAGGAAAGTTCCAAAAATAGTTCTAAGAAGTTTGCTGTATTTCTACAATTTTCCCTGACCACTTAGCGTCTGATCTCCTACAAAATTCATTAAGGTTTAACCAAGCTTGCAAATGCTCATTACAGCTAAAATGGTATGTTTCATATATATGAAGCTATGAAATGTTTTAATGATAATTTTTAATTATAAGATGCAAGTAGAGGAGGTAAAGTGTGTGTATGACACATAAAACCTGCCAATTTAGCTTTCAGAGGGTCACAATTGCGATTAGCTGTAACGATGAGCAACGTAATGAGCGAGCAATCAGCGATCATACCATCGCTAGCTGTGACCTTCTGAAAGCAAAATTGACAAATTTTGTATGTCATACACAAACTTTGCCACCTATTCTTGCTTCTTACAAATAAAAATTACCATTATAGTATCTCATGGATTCATAATTACGCAAAATAGCATTTTAGCTATAATGAGCAATTGCAAGCCTGGGCAAGGTTGCAAAGACTCATTTCAGCTAAAATAATGTTTTTCGGAATATTAAAACCAAAAGATGGTATGATGGCATGTTTTACTTGTAACTTACAAGAAGAGGTTACAAAGTATGCGTTGGAAACATAAAACCTGTAAATTTTGCTTTCTATGAGTCACAATCAGCGATTTGCTGATCGCTGAGTGAGTGAGTGAGTGAGTGAGTGAGTTTGTGAAAAATCGCTGATTGTGACTCTCATGAAGTGAAATAAA